AGGTATTAATGATCTTCTGAATTTCTGTGGGATCTGTGGTAATTTCATCCTTTTCATTTCTTATTGCATGAATTTGAGTTCTTTCCTTTCTTTTCTTGAGTAGGTTGGCTAGGGGTTTATCAATTTTGTTTAAAGTTTATTTTTATAATTATCCTTGAATATGTTTTGAGTGAATTTTGCATTTTCCTTGTGCATGTCTATTAAACTGAAGTTATCCATTTGTTTAGTACCCTTAGGAAAACAGTGGATCTAAACATTATTTTTCTCAGTGTAAAGGGGTTGTTAAGTTGAACTGATACACAGGAGCCAAAAAGAGATGATTTCTTCACATAGGAACAGCCTGCAGTGAAGTTGATATTCATTATCCACTTTACTATGCAAAAGACTACATGATCCAAATTCTTCTGAATGTTGAGAATTACACTGACAGAAATCTTCAATGCCTGTCTCTGAAATAGCACTAGGGATTAATAATATAAGATCAAAGAGAGATTAATGAAAAACAAATAATGTTACTATGTTAGTCTTAAGAATTAGTCATTCTTTAATGACTAATACTTTAAAAGTTTAAAAAAGTGCAGCACGAAGTTGCATCCCACAAACTTGAAAAAAATGGTTGTGAAATCAATACAAACAAGCTTTCTCTTAAAAAGGCAAATAAAATTTTCTAAAACTAAATTTTATAATATAAAATTAAATTATTCAATATGTCATCTTTGGCATTATGCCCTTATGAAATGAAATGTTTCATTCATATTTATACATTTGAGTTAATATTTATTTAGATTGGTCACAGACAGACTACGGCCTATGACTTTTTATACAGACCTGCCTGAAGTGTTGTTTCATATTTTTAAAGGGTTACAAAAATAATCAACAGTGACCATATTATTATCCACAGAAGTCTTTTATGCATTTTGATTTTATTTTAGCACATGGTGAAAGATATGGGTCTAGACTCAATCTTCTGCATATGGTTAGCCAGTTTTCCCAATACCACTGGTTAAGGAGACTATCTCTCCTCCAGTGCATGTTTTTGGCCCTTTTATCTAATAGCAGATGGTTGAATGTGCCCGGGGTTGTTTCTGCATCCTTTATTCTGTTCCATTGATCTGAATGTCCCCTGCTGTTTTATATCACTGTAGCTTTGTAATATAACTTGAAAGCTGAATCAGCTCCATTTTTATTTCCTTCACATATACTACATGATGCTAAACTCTGTTATTTTTTAGATGAGATAAATGGTCCAATTTTTCTTCACTTGGATATGGCATAATTCCTGTTACAGAAATCTCAGATCTTAATCTCTTTCATTTAAAAAATCTCTGAGTTCCAAGTATCATCTAACATTTAATCAATTCTAACTTGTGTCCTTATCACCTAGTGAGTGACATAGGTGGGTCACACCATGTCAACATTTATTCCCAAGAATATGTAAACAAGGCGAGACAACAGTCTTAGTTTAATAAATATTGCAGATTTTCTTTTTTTCCTCTTGGGTCTTCACATTCAGGCTGTCCTAACAGCAGCACTGGCTCTGGCTGTGAAAGTGTCCTAGGAGGGCTACAGGGCTGCCTGAGGCTCATCTCCATCGGCGACAGAATGGTAGACCTCATCTCGGTACAGCAAGGGGCGCTGGGAAGGTTCAGCGACCTCCAGATAGACTCCTGTGGCATCATGGACAGGTAAGGCCAGCTGCAGTCATTTCAGCATGTCTGTCTTCAAAGCTAAAAAGTATGTAGATAAGAAAAAATAATTCCATTCTCTAATAAGAATAAATTTTAAAACCTAGGTACTGTAGCTCTGTGCAAAGGCCGTGAGTTCAAACCCAAGTCACACCCGCCTCGCATTACATTCTCTCTTTCACCGTGTTATCCTTCTTCAGGGAATGAAATAGTCATATTTACAGTGAGATTTTGAAAACTGCACCTTTAGCTGTATAAATGGCATTTTTGAAATGATAGTATTTTGTTAGGAATTTTAACTTAAAATGGTCCCAGTTTCGAGGTTCACTGTTATCAAGGCGGGTTTTGCCAACGTGCCCCGACAGCTGGATGATACTTTGGGGCACAGGGGAGCTGCATAGGTTCCTATTCTCTTAATAGAGTATCATCTCTTCTGTAGAGCAAGTAAGAAATAATCTCTTTCTAGAAAACTTTAGCACAGAGATGGATGAAGATATGTTCACAATGACAGAAGAAAGACATTTTAACCTTTAAAAAGTACATATTATAAGTACATATTATAAAAGTACATATTACAGCTTGCACTATCAGTTATGCTTTATCTCTCTAATGGTTCTGGCTGAAAATAAGCATGTGATCATTCCTGGAAGAACAGTATTTCCTTAGTGCCTTCCTTGAGGTCTGCTGTCACAGATAAATAAAGCTAGTTATATATTACCTATACGTTCATGCAATTATGTGCCAGTTTAAATAAAACTAAAACTGTATTAAGTGAAGTAAGCCAGATTCACAAAGGTACATGTTGCATCTTTTCCCTATTGTGTGGAATGTAAAAAAGGTGACATGAAAGTAGAAGAGAGGCTGCTATTAAACAAGAGGAAGAGAATAAGGGTTACGGGGAAAAGGTGTGAGGGAGGGCTATGGGGGATGAATATTTATGAAAATACCATTGAAACTCAGTATTTTGTAAAACTAATAGCCACTAATAAAACATTTTAAAAATTAACGTTTAAGTTAAACAATTTTATCTACATCTGGAGAATCTTTTAGAGCTTATTATTTTCTACTAGAGTGTTTCTATAAGGTGTGATCAAACATACAGTGACGGTTGCTGCCAATTGCCAGCTAGTGGAAAGGGCGTCTCATAAAACCACCTTATTCCCCTGGATCTGGCATCTGGAACCCTGCTACCTCTGGTTCTTCCTCAAAGTCAAGATGACTGTGAAATGTAAACATTTTAAATTGGTGCAGGATACCCGGGCAGCTATGACAGCACAACTAAATATACTCACAAAAGAGAACTTCCAGGCACTGCTTCAGAAATTGGAAAGAACAATAGGATGGGAGTATTCAGAATGAGAGGGATGATTGGTAATATGTCCTTTCCTACAATACATGTTTTAAAAATTTAAACATTCACCGTAATTTTCGATGACACCTCATATGCTCAATCACACCTCATGTGACAGAAGATGGTCCTATTTTCTCCCCTATCTCCCTCTGCTCTGCTTTCTTTCTTTGAAAAATCTGCACAATATTGTAATTAAGCATAGAAAATTTTATGATTTTATAGATGCAACTGACTTTGCTAGCCACGTGTTAAGTTCATATTGTGTCATGTGGGCCCAAAAGAAAAAAAAAACTAAGTATGCTAAAAACTCAGCTATCACAGGCACAGAATAATCAGCTACATGCTAATAAATGTATTTTTTTTTAAAAGTACTATTATTACCAGAAAATTTTGATGGTAAATAGTAATCGTTGATAATGTGGAATTTTCTTGTGTATGCCATAATTTCACTTCAGTTTGCTTTTAGTAAAAGAGACATTTGCTTTCTGATGACTGACCACGAGAAATAGCAGTTGTGTCTGTTTTCATGTAGGTGTTTGCCCAGCTACTGCGAGCATGGGGGTGACTGTTCCCAATCGTGGGACACCTTCTCCTGTGACTGCCAGGGCACGGGTTATACCGGAGCCACCTGCCATTCCTGTAAGCCTCCCACCTTTTCTCCTCCTTTCTGCGTCTTTATAATTTCCTTGTCATTTCATTTTCACTAGTTGCTTATATGCATCTGCATGTTTGCAATTATTCAAACACACCTAATCAATTCTAGTTTATCAATTTTAGCACCTAATCAATTCTAGTTTATTTTTAAGCCAATTTAGTTATTTTTATTATTTCCTTACTTATTTATCTAATCTGCTGTGCTGAATATCGAGGCCAAGGCCTTGTACATACTAGGGCAGTGCTCTACCACTGAGCTTCACCTCAGCCCCAGCTTCATTTAGTACCAGGCTGTTGAGGCCAGCCATGGAAATGTGTGGTATTAAGTAGTGTAGAAAATAGAAGCTAGTAAGCAGTGGAAAAATAAACAGAGTAGAATAAGATAGTAAAATGTAAAAGAAAAAATTAGATCAACAGCGCATATATCATCTAACCTTAGACTATATATATTTTTTTTTCTTTTTTTTTTTGAGACAGAGTCTTACTATATAGTTCAGGCTGGCTTTGAACTCACTTATGTAGCCCAGGCTGGCCTTGAACTCACAGCAATTCTCCTGTGTCAGCCTTCTGGGTGCTGGGATTACAAGTGTGCACCACCACGACTGGCTAACCTTATACTATATTTTGCTTGATAGCTCCTTTATATGTGCTACATTGGTCTTCTTAATGCATTAGTCTAGATATTTGTTGTAATCAAAGTAAAATGCCAAAAAATTCTGAGGGAAAAATATCAGATTGAAAAAAGCAACATTTAAATTTCCATCTGATTTAATGATTCAGTTGATAATTTGTTTTTCAAATATATCTGCCAAATAAAGATGGAATTTCACCACGCCATAGTCACTAATCATGAGACTAGACTGCTACACCTAGTTCTGACTGAGCTATTTTTGTTTTGGACACTCCTATAATTAATACACATATATTGTCATTCAAAAAGTCAAACAATTCCCATGATGTGAAAGTTCTCCTAGTTACCCTCTTCCGTAGCTGCTCAATGTCCAACCCTATCCTGTACCTCAAATGTAACAGTGGTTACTAATCTGAGTGAATCCTAGCAGACTTCTGCAAGTGTGTGTGCTTACTGAAATCAGTATATGAATGGAAAAAGGTAAAGGACTGAAAAGCAGTCTATCCCACTTAGGTCTCTATCTGGTAAAGCCACACTACTGATTTGGACACTTTACTGTGGGATAATTCTCGGTTGACAATTGGCCAAATTTACCATAAGGTTGCTTAGATGTAAGATTTCCTTTTCAATGAGACTGTTCTCTAAATCTCCTATTTTGTGAAATGAAAGAAAAATAACTCCCACACCTTGCCTTGGGTTTTGCCAGTCAACCGAGACTATTTCCATCTGGTCAAGAACAAAAAAATCACATCTACTGGGGGCTAATGTAGATTGCAATCTTGGGAAACACAAACTCAAGCAGTCTTGGAAATGTGTCCTGACATTTTACTAAATGGCAGCTGTATTTATAGCTTTAAACTACAGTGGGTGGGAAATTCTATCACTCCTTAGCAGGAATTTAGACAGATACTAGAAAAAGTTAAGGCATCTTGTAAGGAAGGGACTGAGTACAGTAGCAGCCCCTGGCATGGGAAAAGGAGTTCCTTATACAGAAGGTCGGCAGAGGTTACAGTGTTTCAAAGACACGTGGGCAGGGTTTGTCTGTAGCATATGTCAAAGGTTCCACTGCAGAGCTGACTGCGATCCGCTACACAGTGGCCTCCTGACTCCATTTTAAGTCCTCCAAGCCAGTGCTACTCCTTTTGACTTTTCTCCTTGACACAATGTAAATGCTTGAAAACACTTTTTCAATAAATATTTATGAAAGTAAATGGAGACAGGTCAGTCAAAAAGCAAATTTGTCTTATAGTGGTATAAATATGTCCTCTTCCCTATTCGATATGATGATTTATTGGTCCTTATATTTCATCTCTTTATTCTATTTACCCTCCCCAGCCTTGCCTGTGGAGATGCCAAAATGGGCTGATGCAGGGCCACCTGGTCTGTGGAACTCCAGTGACAGGGTCACGTACCTTATCCCAGTGGCCATTAGCATCCTTTGGCTTCTTTAAATGGGTTCTTCCTGAAGGTCAACATGTTATCCTGCTGGTCTTTCTTTAAAATTTATGCTGCAGATTAATGTTGTTCAGCCACAGGTGTTATTTCATAGCTTTGTAAACATTTTCTGGCACAAATGAAAATAGTCGATTATATCAGAATAAATTAACATTATATAGGGACATCTTTCATGAAAATCTTTTCTCTATTGTTTTGAAATTAAACTATCTTGACTTGTCACTTACAAATGTGGATGTTTCTTTTTTAAATCAACTTTAATTGCTTTTAATCTAGAGAGGGTGCTGGTTTAAAAGTTCACCTTTTTAAATTGCTCATTTGTAGTTATTCTAAAGTAAGTAATGGGTATAATTACGTATTATATTAAAATAATTTATAGTATACTTGTTGGATAATATCAAATTATTTAAATAGGTTAACATTAATGTGCTGTAGACGTTCAGTTATTGCCAGTAGAATGAAGGTTTCATCTTTAATCATAGCACTTAATTCTGAAGTATACTTGTCATAGAGTCATGTATCAATAGCATGTAAGATTTAGTTTCATGGGTGTCCCTAAAATTCCTCTTCAAATGTATTACACTGGGCTTCAGAATCTTTACCATCTTTTCCTAAAAGCAAAATGGAATACTGTCTTGGTTACTTTTCTCTCATTGCTGGGACAAAATACCTGATGCCCAAAATTAATGAAGGAAAGGTTTATTTCACTTACAGTCTGTGGAGATTTCAGTCCATACTTGGCAGGTTACAAGACAGAATGGCACAGGGCAGAGGGCTACAGCTCATGGCAGCAGAACACAGCAAAAGCAACAAGCACCAAAATGGAGGAATGGCTGCAAGCAGCCTCTTCCTCTCCCTTAC